TTGTAAAATAATAGCAATAATTGACAACTTATCTAAGCTGTTTGCTCACAAAAAAATGTTTTGACAACTCGTTCTGAGCTGAAATGTTGGATACAAACATATTAAAGGGAATTAGTTGCTGTGATTCAGCAATTATTTAATGTTTAATTTTTTTAATAACGATCAAGGTTATCAATAAAATGAACAAAATTGAATAACAATTACAGCAATTATCCAAAGACCGCTGACTTTTTTTGGCGTTTTTGAGTCCTTTTCAGGATCTTGGAGGATTTCAAATACACCAAAATAACATTAAACACGCAAAATAAACCTCAAAACGCCTAAAAAGCATTAAATATAACAATTATTACAATTGTAGGCCTTTGATTGCCCAGTTAGTTGAAGTACATAATTAGCAAATAATAACTGTGCAAGTACTTTCAACTTGAACTTATTGAATAGCGCTTTCTGCACCGACACATGGTATGTTGTTTCCATCTCAGTAGCATTCGCATACAACGATCATTGATGAAATCAACAATTTCACCCTAGTTTGGTCTTGGTCTTCCATTTTCGAACTCAAAACAAACGTTGCTCTGGACGTCAACTCCAAACATCATCAAACTTTAATTATTTCAAACAATAACATGACAATCATCGATCGAGCTGCAGCCAGTGAACGATGCACCCGGGACAATAGCTTCTACCGGTAAAACATATTGTTCTATCTCTTAACGTTATGATCCGTTTCGTATCATCAGCAAAGTTTTTCGAATGGACACGATCCGTTCAGTAGTAAACAGTTTAAAGGGTGTTACGATCAAAATTTGGTCAAACAATAATGCGTGTAAACTGATTAAATTTTTTATTTAAAAAATAATTCAGCTATGCTTCCGATTGACCGAAACCGAACTGCCGGGCTTTTCGTTTGACTCCTGCCATCAGATTCTGTACAGACACTTCTTCCACTTTGTTTGCCGCAGAACACCAGTTTGCCTTAAACTATTTCTCGCTAGCGAAGGATTTTGGAATTTCTCAAAATTGTTTTCTTCAATTCCTGCATTGAGGGATCACTAATAACCAATAACAAAGAATATATAATTATTCCCTATAATTGGTCAAAACTAAAGCTCTTCAAAACTTACACGCGGCAATAGTGCCACCCCTATGTTTATGAATAAATTCATACAAAAATGTAAAAGAAATTGCTTCATTGCCGATGTAAGTCTTCGGTAGGCTTGTTTTCACCAAATTTGACAATACCAGCTACATAAAATATCAACAACAATAGTTTTCATTTAATTGCATTGGTAAACATAGTTCATTAGCTATGCACACTAATCCAGGCCTACAGAACTGTTCGGTAAATGTTTGAAAATCTTTTAAAAATCCAATAATTAGTAAATGTATTCCGAACTTGTGCATACTTTGTTTAGTTTACCCCATTTAGCTATAAAAAAAAGAAATTTGTCAAATTTATTGATGTATCACGTTTAACGGTCATTGGAAAACTTTACCGACTTGATCTGCTGTTCAAAAACCCGGTAAAACTCTACTGACTTCGGTGAATGACCGCTTATTGACACTTTTATACATGTTCTATGACTTTTTTCTTTAAAAATGACAATTTTCTAATACAAATATCTCAAGTTTTAAAAATGATACCTCTGCCATTTTTTTAAACAAAATAAGAACCAAATGTCTTTTTTCCACTACTTTCAATAGATTTGAAATTGGCTTACGCGTTTTAAAGTTAAATTAGTTTGAAAAATACTTGTTTTTTACCTTAAAATCTATATCTAAATATCTATATACTATATCTTCTGATTCAGTGGTCCAAACGTCATAATAAGGTAATCAAAATGTGTGTTTTTTAAAGTTCAAAAAGTGTTTTGAAGAACACTTTTCTCTAAATACAAAGCAAAAAAGTTTATGGTAAAAAAACTGTTTTTTCATGAATCACCCTAACCTTCTTGTTGTTTCAGTTCGTAGAATTCGTAGATGATGAGATAAAAATTTGACGTTTTCGACAAAGTTGCTTGGTTTTGTATTTAATACAACTTTTAAGAAGTAAAAAAAAGTTCCCAAAAATGTCCCTGAAGAGTCAGATTTTTGATGTCACCCTAAAACTGAATCACCCTTATAACTGATCCAATGAAAATAAACGCTAAAACCAGTAGATTTTGCGGAAAACCCAATTTCCATGTATTTTTCCGCTCTGGACCACTGTGCACTGGTGATCAGGATCACAAGCGTGTCGTGAAAGCATTTAAGCGAAATCCCAATGCTTCGGTCAGGGATATGACTTGAATCTGTCCAAGTCTTTCGTTTAGAGAGCCAAGGACCGGGAGGGACTGCATACGTACAAAGTGCAGAAGGCTCCAAATCGAGACGAACGCCAAAATATGGTGGGAAAGTCACGGGCCCGGAAACTGTACTATCCACTATAACACCCAGAGAACCGAATGAGTGCCCGGCAATGGACTGAAGCCGGCACGAGTTCTCCGAAGCGACCGAGGGAGGCTCGATGGGTCAGAAAGGTTATGGCGTCGGTTTTCTGGGATTGTCATGGCATGCTCTTCGTGGACTACCTCGAAAAAGAAAAAACCATCAACAGCGAGTATTAGTGTGCATTATTGGAGCGATTGAAGGCCGAAATCGCTGCAAAACGGCCTCACATGAAGCGAAAAAAGAATAGTTTTTTCAAGACAATGCGCCGGTGCACAAGAGAATCGCAACCACGGCTAAAATCAATGACTTACGGCTCCAATTGCTTCCGCATCCACCGTATTCGCCCGATTTGACTCTAACCAAACCTCAAAAGATGGCTCATCAAAATATAAAAGCAAATTGTCATTCCCAAGGAGGTTACTTTTCACCCCCACCTAGTACACCCAGATGCTGACGAAGCCTCATTGTCTCATCATGGATGATGAGACTTACGTCAAGGCGGACTTCCGGCAGATTCCGGGACTACTGTTCTTCACCGCACAGCACAAATTTGATGTTCCGGAGAAAGTAAGGAAGCGGAAACTTTCAAAGTTTGCCAAGAAATACATGATTTGGCAAGCGATCTGCTGGCAAACGGAGTGGGCCGTTCGTGACTACCAGGACTGTAAACGGCGAGATCTACCTCAAGCAGTCTCTACAGAAGTGTTTGCTTTCTCTGTTGAAGGAATACGAGGGCCCTACGATCTTCTGGCCGGATCTATCTTCGTGTCCGAAGCCAATAGGGTCACTTTCGTACCAAAGGACATGGAACCCACCACTACCTGCCGGGTAAAGCAGGTGCATAAGAACGCCTTTCAATGGTTGTTGGATTCTGCCCTGACCGGCGATTTGCGACCTCTGTGCACCTGAACTCCGATTCTTACCTCCACGCGGTGCCCGGTGGGGTTGCTGGCGGTGATATTTGCCGTCAGTAATGCGAACAAGAACGGGGGATCATCGTTGTCACTAATGCACTATTGTTTATAAGTCGCTAGTGTCGGTGATGACGATGACAGAGCAAATAGGTTATAGCCAACTCTAAGTAGCCCGTGATTATCGCTACCTGGGGATGCTAACCGCAACTAAAGCCTATCAAAAAATACTGGGTTATTATGAAGCAGGCACTGTAAGTATCCCAAGGAGGTCATATCTGAGGAAGACATGAAGAAAAAGTGGGTTTCTGTACAGAATAAGCTGCAGCCAGATGTTGTACAGAACCTAATGAGTGGAGTTAAGCGTACGGTTGAGGTATTGAAGTTGAATGAAATAAATATGCCAAAAGCTTACTAATAGGTTATATTTTATTGTCTGAACGTTTGAAAAGGATCGGTCACCTACACTCAAAATAATTGACACGTCAATGCTACGTGAAAACATACGTATATTTTTTCCATCGTACTTTTCACGTAAAAGCTACGTTATTGTCATGTAAGGGCACTCATTTCATTAAGCCTAATCGTCACAGGATTATTACGTAGAAGTTACGTAATTTTTTGATGGCGTTCACTGGTTGATTCCAGTATCATAACTTTCGATACTATTTATAAAAAGATTTCTTCATAAGATAAAATCTATTCGGACCACCATTCCCAAAAACACCAACATTCCATTATTTATTGACACCACATACGAAATGTTTATAAAATCTGATAAAATCTGAGGATAGAACATGTTTTCTTCGCAGAGGAACTGCCGGATAACTTGCCACCTTTCTATTATTATAATTAAGAAACCAGTATAGGTATGTATGATAATGAAAAAAAAAAAATAATCCCAGATTTATACTTATGTAAAACTGAGAGGAGAGGAAAAAGTGAGAGCTTATGTGATTTTTCACGTAGCTTCAACGTGATGCAATTTGATGTGCGACACCCTTTACCATGCGTTTCCATTGATTTATAGCGACGGTCACATTATCTATACTTATTTAAATTTCGGAGTATTGAGCAAATTTTTGGACCACCCTAACATGGAAATGGTCACCCTAATGGCAAAAAAATAAAAAAAAATGCGATAAGGAACAAAACCACCAATTTTTACGAAATTCCGAGAAACACTCTATTGTTTTGCTATGGAATGGCTGTATAACAAAATGTGCTAAAATTTGGTTATAAACTTTAATTTTAACAAAATGAGTTATAATTGTGTTTCAATTGTGTTGATGATTTTTTTTTTCAAACCAGGACCCAAAAACAAAATTCTATCAAGATTTGTTATTTACAATAGGAGTTGATCTTGGTTTTGGCCAATCCGGGTGGATTCTACCCAAATTTGTGTAGTTTTTAAAAGTTTTTGCAGGAACGAAAGAGAAATTCGACGAATAGCGTCGATCAATGCAGATAGGACCCCTTGAAATGTTCATCTAGATTCAAAGGTGGCATTCCCCCATTGGAAAAAAACACATATTTTCATACAAGTACCTAGCTCAGTTGCACCCAATCGGACGCACATCAAATTCATAATAAACCAACATTTGAGGACAATGCTATGGGGGAAAAAAAGTATTCAATCCCGTAGGTATAGGTACTCACCGATCTGCGGGACGTCGTACTGCCGCTGGCCTCGGGCACTGCGCAGCATCAGCTGGCTGGCCACGTTGTGCGGAATCGCCGGCATGTTGCCGCTACTGCTGCTACCGCCACTACTGCTGTCCATTGGGCCCCCTCCGCCGCCGCCAGTGGACTCCATGGAACTGCCACCTCCACCTCCCACCCCATTGCTATTACTGTGCGATGATCGTTTGTTGTTGTTGGGATTCCGCTGTTGCTGTTGTTGGGACTGATCTTCGTCGCTGCCTAGATCGTTGTTGTTGTTGTTGTTGTGGTTGTTGTCGTTGGGATTATGCTGCTGCTGCAGCGGTTGCTGTTGGGAGTTGCGCAGGTCGTAGTTGGTTTGGACTCCGAACAGTTCCTGGAGGCCGCGGGGTTGGATCAGCGGTCCGACCGGATGACGCACCGGTGGCGGACTGAGTTCGGGCAGTTCGTTACTGGTTAGATGATTGATTACGACAACCCCGTGCGGGGTTCTTTCGCCTTGGGGTGGCACCTGTTGCAGCACCTGTTGGTGGTGGTGATGGGACGATGACAACGAGGGCTGTTTCATGTGCGGCAGGACTACTACCGGGGGAGGTGGCGGCCCAGCGGGAATACTGTTCTCCGCCAGCAGCTCGGACATGTCGTCCAGCTCTTCGAGAAGCTGGGCGGCTGCGGCGGGAGGCGGAGGCGGTGCCTTGATGTAGGCATCGCGGGCCATGTGCAGGGAGTATGTGCTGGACAGCACGCTCATGTACGCCAGGATCGGTAGGATTTCACGGAACATGGCTGGTTGGGTTTCCGGGGGTTTGGTTTAAGCGAGGCTATGTACAGTTTCTCAGTTTCTCGAGGGGGGGTTTATCTTGAGCGAACTTCTAGGATGGATGGATTGGGAAAACGCGCGCGCGGGACAGAGAGTGAGTGAATGAAAGACGCGGACTTGGAGAAAAAGAGAGGAAGGAGCAGTGACAGGCAATCACACGTACACGGGTGACCTTGCGTGTGCGCTCCCAAACGGTGAAACTGGCAAACCGCACTCACGCACACGTAACAAGTTAATAATCAACAGGTTCAAAGCCAACTTCGATCTGCGGGGAGGCTCGATTTTTCACCGCCTTCTTTGTTCGAATTTTTTTCACCTGCCGTCAGTCGGCCTGCTTTGGTGTGTTTTTCTGATTGTCCGTTTCCGTTCCGTTTTTCTACACTCTCACACTTCTTCGCTTTGGGCAATCACTCGCTTTGTAAGTCTATTTTTAGCACATCCGCGTGAATCCTCGACAGTCCTTTTCCGATATCGATTATGGAATGTGCTATCCTGTCGTGTTGCTGCTTTTCCACCTTTCCGAACCGACCGAGAAACAATCGAGTCTCGGATGGATGCGAGGGGAGGATTCGAGACGGCGGATCGTCCCCGGCAGCAGTGAGTATCCGGATCGATTGTGTTTTATCCTTATTGAAAACTTTTCACCCAAGCACAGTTTTCACTCGATTTCGGCTCTTCCACTTCCGACGCTTGAATCTTGATTTCTTGTTTCGCACTTTGGTATTCTTATTCTTCTTCTTTTTCTTCGATACGTTCTTCTGCCAGTCTAACCGTGCTGGACTTGTTAGTGTATAAAAATAGACTCCGGGTATCTCTCGTTCTCACCGAGGGGCGCTTCGCCTGAACCTTTGCGTACGCGAAAGGAAAATATCCTGAAAACAACGATTTTCTTCTTTTCCCGGATAGAATTCTCGCACCACTTGCTCACCGTTTGGGCGATCAATCACAGGCCGAGCTAACCTCTTTTTCCGGCAATTTCAGAGTTGTTTTTCCACTTTTCTTAAATCACACACCTGCTCATAATGCACTCACTCACATATCCACCGAGCCAAGACCGTCGCGAACTTCAGAACCACTTGATTCACCGGCACGGACCGTGGTATTTGGGAACACTCTCAAGCGCCTACTTTGATTCGGACCGCGGCCTGCTTTGATTTGAACCGTCCTGTTCTTCCAAAACTCAGCACAACTCGCTGGCTGTAGCTCCGTTCTTGTAGCTGTTGCTATTGTTGTTGTTACAGGCGTTGTTGTTGTTGTAGTTGTTGTTGTTACTGTTGCTGCTGATGATGATGATAAGGGGGTAAGTTGGACCACCCTGGGAGGCCGCTTTGGCCATGACGCGCGCTCGGGAACCGTGTACAACACACTAACTGCCTCGTCAAGGGATGAAACGCGAATGAGCGAACCCGAACGGTGAGCCACTTTTTCCTAGGTCCTAGCCGTGCACCGTACCTCCAAGCTCCTCCCTGGCCGCCTCCCGGCGCCGGATCCTTTCACGGAACCGACTCAAGGATGCACCCGCGTGAGCTTTCGCTCGCTCTCACCCACCATACTCTCCTAGGAAAACGACTTTCAAACCGAGCGTGGTCGTAATGTTCGGCAGCTAAAAGGACCCCCCTCGCCCGTACAGCGCAGACGCAGCGTTTTTCATTCAGGAGGACCAGAAGCAGTAGCAGCAAACGTCGACGACGATTCTCGCTTATCGGATGGCGTCGGGTCCGATCCGGTCGTAATAGTTCTATGTGTGTTTTCAGCGTCGACGTCACAAAACAGCCGGGGATTGCCACCCTGTTCCCTTTCTACACCACCCCGGGAAAAATCAGATCGGCCGGGAGGGAAGAGGGTGGGAAAGCTCTCACGACGACGAATACGCTGGTGACTTTCCACCTTTTTTTTTTTTGTTGTTCGCATTCGAGCACAAACAGGTACCCACCTTGTACCTGTTTTCATTCTTGAACCGGGGTTCTCCCGCGAGGAAAAGCATGACGTAAGCTTCGAGCTTTGTTGAGCCTCTCTCGTCCTGGATGAGGGAGGAAGGGTGTGGTGTTGAGGGGGGAAGGGGGAAGGGGGAAGGTAGAAAGTGCGGCAACATATTTGGTCTATTATTTTTATGGGTTGTTTTTCCCGGAATTTGGATGGCTGATGGCGTGGAAGCTCGATTAGAATCAGCTGGTTCACGTTTCCGGAGAATTGAACTTGTCACATATTTGAATGAGCTGTGATGAAATGGAACAATTATTTCTTAATGTTGGGTGAGGGGTGGAGAGTTCGTGTGTGATTAACACAAAGGAGACACCAATTTGTAGATTGAAGGAGAATGTCATTAACGGACGTGATTTGCAGGGGCCGCTGGTCATGAAATTATTATGATGTGAAATTAATTACACGTTCAGTTGTTCACATTTGTGCATGGTTCTGATTTTTTGACTCAGATTATTTTAAATATTGATGTTGTTTGATCATTTCTAGATAGAGCTGGAATTATGGTGTAACAGCCTTTGTAAACAATGACTTCTCTCGTTGATTTCTAGGAATTCAAAGCACGTCTACACAAACCAACATATCCATCGAGTAGGGGAAGTATTTTCCTACTCGATGGTGATGTCGATTTGCCAGGGAGAGCCATGAATTTCGAGAAATCCTCGAGAGAAGTCATTGTTTACAAAAGCTGTTACGCCCTAATTGCAGCTCTATCTAGATTTTATAACTCGATAGTTTCGAACCTAACAAGCAATTCTAGCTGCAGACTAGCTTAATGGCAAAAAATAGTTGTAAAAGCTAATCTGCAGCTAAAATTGTTAGCTGGGAAGTCCAAAGCAGTGCTGTCATGATATATTAGACCAGGTTACTCACTGATATTAGATGTGAGTGCCCTGGCCACCTCAATTCCATGCGGCTCTTTCAAGAGCGCCCATAAAGGTTGACTAAAAGTTAATTAGTACGCACAAAAAGACCTGTAATTCGTGATTCAATAAGTTTAGAAAGTCCATTAATGGTTGCGTTACCCTACTTTTATTAAAACTTCAAAGTTACAGCATTAGATGGTTACATTTCTCCAGTTCTATCGAAATCTTGAACCTTCCTCTTGATGGAGCCCATCAGCACCCGCACAAAAACGGAAACGGCGCATTTCTTCCATTTTGCTCGCATTTGCTGGATGTCATGACTGCCCCGCCGCTTCGTCGCTGCCTTGAAATTGCCCAGTATTTTTAGATTGATCGAATTTTCGGGCAATTCGGAGGATGCTTGGGGACAAAAACGATCTTGTAGGCAGCATACAACTCCAGAACCACCTTGGAGTAGTGGAAGCTGGCCAAGTTAGGCCAGGCCAAAAGATGACTTTGCCCCTATGCTTACGGATGAACGGCAATACACGCTTTTTCAGGCATTCTTCGATGTAAACTTGGGATGTCATCGTCGAGGATGTGACGAATGGTTCCGTTTTCAGGCCACAACTGACAATCGGTTGCCAAATCATGGCCTTCTTCGCGAACTTGTTGGCAAACACGGACTTGAAGCTTCCCGGCACATCCCCACGTCCAGTCGCGATGTAAATCTTTTGACCGGGAAGCTGCTTAAAATCGAGTTTGACGTATGTTTCGTCATCGATCAAAGTGCCTTCCCTCAACTCCTAGGGACTTCTCTGATGTTTTCGGTGCTTCTCTCAAGTCCCATAAATTTTCTAATGATCTGTTAATTATACTAAAGGGTGTTCCACATCATCATCAATCAAACTGCATCACGGAAAAAACGCTGTAGAAAATTACCCATTGGGTATATTCTCTTGAAAATTTGGGTAGACGTAGTTTAGAGTGTATTGTTTACACTGTATTTTTATCGCTGTCAGTTTTTCCAACGTAGGGAAAAATGGCGTCACCCGAAAAGCAATGTCGCGAATTGATTTTGCGCAAGCACCTCTAAAATCCTAAACTCTCTCATCGCACTATGGGCAAAAATGGGTCCAAAATTACCCAAAATTCAATATCTCAACAGCACGCTGAATTCCGGCCATGAAAAACGACTTTTCCGAAGGGAAATCGTTCGGGGTCCCATAGACCGGACAGCCTTGTAGGTATGTGTTTTGGACCATTTTACCCCATTTTCCCCTACTTTTTGGAGGAAATGTTTTTTCACAGCTCCATTTTTCGTAAAACATAAGCACTTTATGCATGGTTTTAGAATACTATGTCTTTCAACAACAGTTCATGAGATATTAGGGGAATACGGGGTACACTTTATAGGGGAGAAAGGGGTAAAAGTGAAAATACAATCATTTTTTTTTTAATACAAAATCCATTTGTTTTAATATCATAATATTTTTTCTGAAAAAAAAACTTTTAATTAACTTTCATTTGGTATTTTGAGTTCCGTCATCGGCCAAACAGTTCAAAAGTTATAAATTTTTGAAAATATCAAAAAAAAAATATTTTTTTTTTTACCGCTTTGATATATAAATAGTCACCCTAATGACAAAATAAAAAATACTGGTCTAATATGTTGCGATTAGGAACAAAACAACCATTTTTTACAAAATTCTGAGAACCACTATATCGTTTTGCTGTATGCATACAAAAAAAGTGAAAACTCTTTTAAAACACATAGCAGTAAATTAAAACTTATTTAACCCCAATTAAACTTAAAATTTCGAAAAAAAAATCTTATTATTGCAGGCAACCTTTGGGTTCATTCAAACAATCGCATCGTTCAGATTTTTTATGAATTAAAATAAATTTAGTGGGGGTTCACTTTAACTCCTTACTCCCCTATAAAGTGTTCCCCGTATTCCACTAATATCTCATGGACTGTTGTTTGAAGACATAGTATTCTAAGACCATGCATAAAGTGCTTATGTTTTACGAAAAATAGAGCTGTGAAAAAACATTTCCTCCAAAAAGTAGGGGAAAATGGGGTAAAATGGGCCAAAACACATACCTACAAGGCTCTCCGGTCTATGGGACCACGTACAATCGATTTCCCGACCTATTTCCCTTCGGAAGAGTCGTTTTTCATGGCCGGAATTCAGCGTGCTGTTGAGATATTGAATTTTGGGTAATTTTGGACCCATTTTTGCCCATAGTGCATCGGGACAACGGAAAACAATTCGGAATCGTGCAGTCAACGGTGAGTTGTGTGATTAAACGTTGCTGTGAGCATCGAACGGAAGGAGAAATGCGGTCAGAATGGATGTTCTATTAGTGATCCGGATCACAATCGTGTCGTGAAAGCGTTTAGGCGGCATCCCAATGCTTCGGTCAGGGATGTGGCCAAAAAGTTGAATCTGTCCAAGTCTTTCGTTCAGAGAGCCAAGGACCGGAAGGGACTGCATTCGTATAAAGTGCAGAAGGCTCCAAATCGCGACGAACGGCAAAATACGGTGGGAAAGTCATGGGCCCAGAAACTGTACACCCAGATACTGACGAAGCCTCATTGTCTCATCATGGATGATGAGACTGACGTCAAGGCGAACTGCCGGCAGCTTCCGTGGCTACTGTTTTTCACCGCCCAGCACAAATTTGATGTTCCAGAGGAACTTTCAAAGTTTGCCAAGAAATACATGATTTGGCAAGCGATCTGCTCATGTGGCAAACGGAGTGCGCCGTTCGTGACTACCGGGACTGTAAATGGGGACAGAAGTGTCTGCTTTCTCTGTTGAAGTAACACGAAGGCCCTACGATCTTCTGGCCGGATCTAGCTTCGTGCCACTATTCAAATGTTGTCCTGGAGTGGTACGAAGCCAACGCGGTCACTTTCGTACCCAAGGACATGAACCCCCCAACGCACCGGAACTAAGGTCCATCGAATAATACTGGGCTATTATGAAGCAGGCACTACGGAAAAGTGGATGTTGTACAGAACCTAATGAGTGGAGTTAAGCGTAAGGTGTGAACGTACGGTTATGGTATTGAAGTTGAACGAAATAAATATGCCAAAAGCTTACTAATGGTTATATTTTATTGTCTATATTGTTTTGGTTATTTTGCTTAACGACGTGTTCTGGGTATCATCCAAACCATTTGTGGAATCGTTATTTTATTTGGGTTATCGTTCGTTTATAGTTATTCTTTATTAGGACACCCATGTTCTCGTTTTCGTTTGAGCTGTGCTTTCCATAAAACCGAAAAGCGCGCTCATCTCCTTAATTGAGGCCTGAATTATAATTTGAGACCTAAATTACAATTTTTTTTTTATCGAGTTGATAATGTTTTAGCACGCAAATTTTCGAAATCTTTCATCAGTATTTTTTATGCATCCAAGGGGTAAGTCACTCAGCACATTGTGCCGAAATTAGATTCGGCACAGCTCAGGTACATCCATTGGTACACCTTCGGCACAATCTCGTAGGCATTGGATTGTTGTAAATAAAATGGGAGCACTTC